CCAAGTCCTGCTTTTAACTCAAGGCCCATCCAGACAAGGACAGCTCTGCAATGCGAGGTCATGGCTGGCAGAAATAGTTGAAGCTGCGAGATTGAACTCTGCCGGCGTTTCCATTTCGCCTCGTAATGGTGGTAATCAGAGTCAGTACGAATAAAGCCGGGTAATCTCTCAAGGCGAGATGCGAAATTGAAGTCGCGGGCCAGCCGCCCAAGTGAGCAGAATGAATCCGAATACCCAAACCTGACGAGAAGAAATAGGGCTAGCGATGGCGATCAACGGGGGCCGCTACTGGGAGATGTTTCATCCTGGCTTGTCTCCGCTCAATGATTTGTTCGAGAAGGTCTGGGAGACACTGCGTTTGGTCCCCTACACTTCATAATTACCCTGGGCATTGACTGCGATTTGGGGACCCGCATCTGCGATTGTCACGGTCAAGCGACTTGTCGACATGGAGGGGAAGAACAGGAAGGTTGCAGCCGACGGTGCTTTCGAAACCCCTCGAGGGTTGAGCAATGGGGACTTCTGTATCCGTATATCTTGTGCGTTTGGTTTGGTTTCGAAGCATGGCTAGCAGCGGGCTCATATGGCGTGATCCATGCCCTTAGCATCATGATCTCCTTGTGTCCTTGCGGGCCTGCTTTCATAGGCAGTTTTGTGTTATCGTATCTGTGGTCGCCGATCTTCTCGGCCAGCAGCCGACACGGTAGCTCGTGTTGTCTGGAAGGCGGAATTCTTCCCGTGATGGACAGCAAATAGCACGACCGCTGAGGGTTTTGCAGTGTTGCAATTCAACAGCGCCGATCGTACGCCAGCCAGTCGCAGGCCCTTGTGTTAGGTTGTATTGAATTCTTCATTATTGGCGCTGTTAATAAGACCTTAAGCACGGACATGGCAAGGGCAGTCGGTGGTCACTGGCGCCCGTGCAAAGATGGAGCGGAGACGGCACCGCAGGTCGGAGCCACATCCGACATGAGAGACTTCGAAATGTGTGAAGGCTGAGGCGGTGACGGCTGCTGCCCTAGAAGGTTTGAGCGATGTGCTGAATCCGTATCATGATAGGGCCAATAAGGCACCGCTAATGGGTGGAAAAGTATTATAAGCAAGAGAGAATTGACGACTCGTCATATTCCTCTTAAACTAGGCCTCGGGGCAGGCCACTAGTGTGTCTCTGATTAGCGCTGCTTTGAGTTGCCAGACGTCCAGAATTCCAATAGGGGAAGAGCCTCGAGGCTTTTGTGACTGAGTAGCATCACTAGGCGCGGATTTCATGTGCCAGAGTCGATGCCTTTGTGTGTTCTCGGAGAGGCATGATGGCAAGATCCTTCGTATTGGAGAGGCTACGAGAGAACGGGACGGGGAACCTAGGCATCTGGTGTAGGGCAAGCAACGGCCGTAAACCTTCTCGACGTCGGGGCCCTGCATCGTAGTGTAAAGCCATGGCCGGGTGGGCAGGTACGTGGGCGGCCGGAGGAGGCGCTTTTTCTGACTCTGCCACTTCCGTGCCGCACTTTGCATATTGCCGCAAGACGGTGGAGCTGCATGTCAGTGCTATGCCGTCGGCGGCACCAACGCTTCCATCCAAACCGGGAATGTCGAGATAAGGTCGAGTACGTAACGTTGTGTCTGGCTGTCATCAATGGCGTATGTGGAGAGCCGCGATGTGAGGAGAAGTGTTTCGGGACAACATCCTCGAGTAGACTCTGGTTGTCTTGTTGTTGTAGTGACCGAGTGCTGAGATGTGATGTTGACAAGCCATGATTGAGGTCCGCTGGGTTTCTTGATTCACTCCGAATAACTTCTTCAAGGTAAGTGACACCCTCGTCGCTCTGCTCGACGGGAAGAATATGCATCTTCTCTCAAATTCTTGTCAGATGATAGGTTCAAACTCGATTGTACCAAGGCCTCTAGCAGCCTCGCAAAGACAGTCCATGTCTTGTTCTCATCTTTTGATAGACTGGCTGTGTGTGTGTGTGTGTGTGTGTGTGTGCGTGCCCTTCAGCCCCACTGTCACAGAGCCTGCTGGAGGCGAGACATTATTGGATTGAACGTTGACGTTTGAGCCCACCGCCTCGAAAACCCCATCAACCTCTCCATCTTCCAGGAAGACAGGGGGGAAATGGCGGAGTGTCGGATCTGCAGATCTTGTATTCATAGTTTCGTTCTGTGCCGATTGTCCATCACTTCTGCCGCCTCGGAGCCATGTGAGAGGGACAGAGCAAGCAATGCAGAACACCACACCAACGTGAGGTCGACGCAGGACCACGTTCTGTTCCTGAAGCACCGCCAGCTAGCTAACCAACCATTGGACAACTGTCCAAGACGCCGCCAGTGACGACTGCTGCTCTTCGCAGTACGTGAGCGTCATCCCCAGGAAACAGTGGGTGGACAGAGGTAGGTAGTGAAGCGCATGTTGCGTTGGTCCTACACTCCAATGGCCAGTGACCGGCGGCAGACGCCTTCAGAAAAGCAAAGCTCGAGATCTTGGCGCGGCCTGCAGGTGGATGGAGTCGCCAGAAGTGCCCTCTCCTATGGGGACGAGGCGGACCTGAGAAGACGATGGACCAGCTATTCCCCGTCTCAAGTCGCCGTCCAGTACCCAGTGTCGGCTGTCATAAACGGAGAAGGTAATGGGGTCATGGCCGAAGCTGGAGATTTCCGATTCTCCCTTGCATGTGTGGGTGTGCGCAGTCACGCAGTGGCCGTCTGGGAAGCGATCGTCAGGTCAAGCGTCCATCAACCGCGGAGTGCGAGTGTGCGAGTTGCCAAAGTTGAGAAGGTCCATCCGGACCCTGGAGCCCGTCTGTTCGAAGCCCCAGACGATGGCCTTCAACTTACTGGGTCGTATTGCGGTCCTTTGTCGATACGAAAGCGAGGAAAACGGAGTGCAACAAGGGACAGCAAGAGGAAACCGTCGACGAATCCAATCGGACTACTTTACATCTGTAGGTGCAGGTGGGAGACGTACCTTTGATTACCTCACCTGCTCCTACCCTGCCCTGCCCGGCTTCCAGTGACTTGAAGGTTGAGGTGAGGTGTTTTTGCGGTACGTACCGCCTTCTTTCCTTCCTTCCTTCCTTCCTTCCTTACTTCCTCTCTTCTCCTCTCCTTCCCGTCGTCTCCTCGTCTACGGATAGCTCCCGCCTCCTTCGCCCTCACAGCATTAAGGTACCTACCTACCTACCTACCCCCGTCTTCTGCGGGAACAAGGTGTGGGAACGTACCGCTGCCGTGCCGACTCCACACCACGGGCGTGGCTTTAAGTTGCCGTCCATGTGTCCCCGACTCTCCCCTTGTCAGCCGGCCACCTCCTCCTCCTCCACCTCCAGTCCTCCTCCACTGCTCTTTCTGAGTCTCCGGCCCAATGCGATGCAGTGCGGTCCCTCATCCGTCCTCTCCTCGCCCACCCCTGCTCCAAGGTACCTTACGAGTAACGACTAACGACCCCACGATGGCAGTACGTACCTCCAGACTCCAGTCGTCCTCACGGTTCACCCGACTCCTTCTCCTCTCCTCCTGTCCTCCTCTCCTGCTTTTTTGCAGTGGCTGCATCTGCTCTGCATCTAGCTGCATCGCTCTCGCATACGCACGCACACACATACAAAGTATCGAGTATCGAGTACGCACAACAGGGAACCTGGAAGCGAATTGCTGCTCCTCATCTACCGCCCTTCCTCTCCCCTCTCCAATTTTCTCCTGTTCAAAGGCCCTTGGTCCCCCGTTGCCCGCCCTCTCACCCCACCATCTTTCTCTTGCATCGCACAACTCCGGGCTCTCTCATAATTGATGCTCTATCCTCCATCTCGCCTCGTCCTCTCTGCTCTTGTGCATCAGAGTCGCTGGTAACCCCTCCCCATCCTCTTCCAAAGCACATACGAATACCTTCTTCCTGCAGTAGCATCTGCCTCGCCGTAAAACCCACACAACACACCCTTCACCGCGGCATACACATAAGTCTTTGTTTGACTCTCGAACCAGCCGTTGAGATCGGGGACACTACGAGTCTTCCCCCCTGCCGCCTCTCATCAGAGTAGCATCAAGCCGCCTCACCTCGACAAGCACCCGCAGCCGAGATTCTCTCTCCTCACCTTTTCTCCCCAGCGCTAGCGGCCTCAGCTAGTGCCGTTGACCCCCAACCTTGACGCCAAGCATACGAAGGCATAGAAACGGTACATCCACTTGGCCGCATTACACACTTGAGCGACGCCGACCCAACTCTCTTCTGACCCTCCTAGCCTCTGTCGCGTCCATCTGTCTCCCTTACCCACGCTACTCCGTATTTTACCTATCCGTCCACCGATCCTTCCATCATCCACATACCTTACTTTATATCTCATCTGCCCTTTTCCACCCTCGTCCACAATTCCATCAATCCAAGGCTTGGACTCTTCCCGCGCAGATCTCGCCTCAGCTTCTAGCTGCCGATCACACTCGTCCAATCACGGCTCCTTTTCTGCCGACGCCTCTTGCAAACCATACTTACCTGTCTGTCGCTTTCTGCCCGACTCACCTTTGCTACGTCTTTGCCGGCACGAGACCGCCGCTGGTCTCGTTTCCTATTGTCGCCCGAGGCCAAGCGCACGACTTCATTTTTCTCTTCACTCTGGCATCGCTCGCCAAAGTGACAAAATACTGTTGAGCATCTACCGGCTTGGGGGTTGTCGCACCAACACAGGAAAGAGAGAGAGAGAGAGAGCTTTAGATACGCCAACGCTTGCTGGCGGACCATGCTTCACCCATAAAAGCGTGCCGATCTCTTCCACTCTTCCCACCTTTCCCTGTCGTCGAGTCTGCAACGCCGATCATCGCCCTAGAATCCACCGAAGAATCCCCTCAAAACCTGCTGCGCTCGCTGCTACATTTCATTGCTGGACTACATCCCGATCGAGATCCGTCACACTTTCCTGCAACTAGACGTTGAGAGTCGCCAAACACTCAACGCCTAACCCCCGGCTATAGCAATCACGGCCAGCTCACGAAAGAACGAGGACCTTGATTTGGTCATGGATGCCCTCAAGAATATCGCCAACAATGTCCCCGATTGGCTCAATCGTCTCGACGAACTCGGGGACCAAATAGACCAACGCCAAGTTGAGCTTGCTGCGCTTGGAGCGGACAGCTCGTCGCGATCTATCAAAAACCGCGGGTCTACCGAATCGCTCAAGCCGAAGGACGAACCCGCCAATGCCATTTCCCCAGCAGCCGACGAAGTAAATGCCGAAGAGGCAGACGCCCAACGAGCTACTGGTGCCAAGACACCTCCCCACGATGAACCGAAAACCAACGACCACCCCTCCAGCCCAAGCAGCGGTACGCCGTCTGCCCTCAAGAAGCAGACCGAGCAAGCAATGGCACTGGCACAAGCTCGAGCCCGTGCTGTGGTAGAGAAGAGACCCCGTCCGAATTCTATCCTATCAGTCGAGGAAGACGCGCCGATCAAGTACCGATCACGAAAGCTAGTCATGGTCTACTATGACAGCTATGTACAACTTTTCTTTGAAGAGTTGGTCAAGTTTGTGTCAGCCAGCCGTAACCTGATGCGGAAGGCAAAGATGGCAGCAAAGGTGGCACAGATTCGTCGCTTGGCGGAACAAGAGTTACCGGAAGAGGACGATGGTGATAAGGCTGGCGACCTCCAGCCAGATACAGCCAACAATACCAGCGGCTCCGACGCGCTGCCGTCCTTGCGGTACTTGAGCACAAGACGGATGGGACCCGGCGGCCGGAGGGGGCCTTCGTATACGAGAGCCGGACAGGCCGGCGGTGGTGGTGCCGTGATGGGTGATGGCGGTCCAGATGCCTACGATGAGCTGGACAAGTGTCTCGAATACGTGCAGAATCAGTGCGAGCATGCAGCACACCAATTCCTGCGCGATGGCGAGTGCGCGGAAGAGGTTGGCAATATTCAACGACGGTTGTCAGAGACCAAAGAGCTAGCCGTCAAGGAGATGGAAAGAGTCCAGAAAGAAGAGCCCGAGCTGCTCAAGGCGGCAAACGAGGCGAAAAAGGTGCGGACTCTTCGACCAACGAGCATGCGGCGAGAGCTCACGGCCGCCAAGGACAGCAACCCACCCATCACACCCAGGAAGCTCGAGGTTGACGCAAAGATAGAGGCGGAGACCAAGACTCCAGTCGCTAAGACGATTGAGGTGGACATGTCTAAGCCTCTCGAGGCGGATGATGGGCCTATTGAGGCCGATAATGACGAGGGGGTCGACGACATGGAGATCACCCTACCACCTCGTTTGAACTATCGATCCACTAGGGCGATGCGTGGCTAGAAGCCACTGTCGGATGTCGCAACCCACTCACGCAGACGCATTTTCTTTTTATCGTAATGAATGATACGGCCTCACCTGGAGATGAGAGGAGCATAAGTTGGGACCGAAGAAAAAATCTGGGCGGGAGGTGAAGGGGGTTGCATCTGAACAGGCACACGGAGGGGGCCCAAAGATTTGCTGATGATATCAAAAAACACATGCATAGCATAGCGTCTGCTTCTTCACCATCGCTCGAACTGCATAGGAGGTCGCTTGAGTCGTATATATTGCACTGAGGATATGCTGCACAGAGAGAGACACACAGAGAGAAGAGGAGCCATAGTAAGGGAATAGGGTTACTGGGAAGCACAAGCCGAGGGAATGCATTTTTACTGTCTTTAATACTAGGTAGGGGATGGGTTTGAGTCAACATCCCGGGTGCAACATCCCGGGTGCAACAGACGTGTCTGGCTTGCTCAGGATCAAGGTCTAGAGGACCAGCCGAGCCAATTGAAAGGTTTTCTCGCCACTATGAATGCCTCTACCCCAAGGAGCATATGCGCTGAGGGCGGATCTCATGACGTTGGGATTGCATGCCCGAGAGTGAGTATTTGTTGTCCAAACGTGATTCGAGGCACTCCACCCACCAGCATTGATCTACCATTCTTTCTCAAGAAGATGCTACCTGGACACCGCGCATTCGAGGTGGCGGATGCCACCCATGTATTTCATCGGAGCCGATCTAATCAGTGTGCTTTGTCGTGATTTGAGCCCCTCAAAGTCTCATGTTTGTTGCGTCTGACTGACACCAGTAGCGGCCGCGAGGATACCGGCGCCCTTGATCCCGCCGTCGTGGCAGGGACTCAGAACGATCCTCAACGGCGGCGACCCCTCCTGCGACCCCTCCGAGTGGCCCTCGTCGTAGTCGAGCTTGATGATCTTGTCTAAAAAGTCTTGCGTGTCGGCGAGGTAGTCTTGAAAGTGGGCGATGCAGCCGCCCGTGTAGCCGACGCCTAGCTCGGTGATGGGTGCTGCCTGCGTCTCTGCTTCTTTGCGGTTGTGGTTGTAGTTCTCGACATGGTTCTGGTCAATTGATGGGGGTATGTCTTGTGCTAGCTTGAGGAGGGCCACGGTGGCGGCTGCGACGATGCCTGCGGCGCGGATCTCGATTGCCTTTGCAATGTGGTAGAGGGCTGCTGCGATTGTTGGCGTCCACTGGAAGGAGGAGGAGGATACCCCCTTTTCTGCTTCTGCCACCGGAAACTCCTTTTCTAATTTGGTTTGCAGAGGGGTAGGGTCTGCAAGGTCATTGGCGGCGGGCTTGAAGTGGCTGAGGAACGTTGTCGTCAGCGCGTACCTCGTCAGCAAGGCGGTCGGCAGCGATGACTCGTTGTGGCCGAGGACGGTCTGGAGATAGTCGACAAGGACGAGGCGGCCCAGCTCGCCGAGGTAGCGGCCGGCCGTCATATATTCTAGGGGTTGGAAGCCAGCGATCTCGCCCGGTCCGACGAGGGCGTCGTCGAGGGCCGTGTCCCAGGGGGTGATGAGGCCTAGCTCGCGGAGGGGCGGGGCGGTGCCGCGAATGCTCCATTCCGTGTTGACGGCGATGCGGGCGTGGCGGGCGGACTCGCCCGGGAGGGTGCTGACGTCTGCGGGCCATTTTGAGGGGCCGAGGGCTGTGAGCGGGAGGGTGATGGTGGCGTTGCAGCCTGTGCCTACGATGAGGCCCATGCTTGCCTTTTTGGTGGCGTGGCGAGGGGACTGGGACTGGGACTGGGACTCGTCGAAGAGGTAGATGAAGGATATGAGTGTGGATACGGAGTCGTTTGATATGGCGGCGATGCGGATGGGCGGCAGGCGGTGGGCGCCGTTGTCGGCGGCGCGAGCCTTGGAGTAGCCTTTGATCAGTAAGGGGCCCAGCTCTGCGTTGCCGTTGATGCTGAAGCCTTTGCCCATGGTCATGATGGTTGCGTCAGAAATGGTGTGCTGGACCATGGGGAAGCTGAAGGTGATGCCCAGGGGGAGGGCCTCCTCGTCGTCGACATAGTTGTCGTTGTCGCCACTGGGTAGCCGGGATTCCTCGCGGGCAGCGCGGAGGACGGAGGCGATACGGGCGCCGATCCAGTCGAAGAGGAGCTGAGGGTCACCGCCAGTATCTGCTTTGAGGCGGTCGTCTATTGGCCACGCTCTCTCTTCGAGGCGGAGGGAAGGCGGCGGCAGTGACGATGGGGAGGCGGTGCCATTGGGTTTGGAGGAGGGGAGTGCATTGTGGGCGTTTGCTGTGTCTTTACCGTGGAGCTCGACAAAACCTACTCTCAGGTTTGTTCCGCCGCTGACTCTGAGGTTAGTGATGTGGTCCTCGGGTGTAAGAAGCCTTGCAGCATGGCGGGATGCGCATGGGGTAGAGACGTGAGATTGCGAGGCTGGTGGAGGAGGGCTTTAGACGACGTACATGTCAATAGCCAGGTGTCTATCGTGCGTTGTTAGCTTCGGTTTCACATACAGGAGAACAACACCACTTCAGATGTTGAGATTTTTACAACCCCTCTCCCAGGATGAATGTTAACGGGTGCTTCCAACGGAGATGCCGGCCGTATGCGAAAGTCGGGTTGCGTCGAGATAGAAAGAAGGGGGGAAGAGGAGGTCGTCATACCTTCCATGACCGCGCTGGCTGAGGGGTCTTAAGATGGACTCTGAGATGGGCGTGGCGAGGAATTGGTCGTCGGCGTTGCGAGCCAGGTGCCGGAAATTGGTCAAGAAGAGGCTGGACAGTGTGTGAATCTTTTGGGCGTCGACGTGGAATGGCTGCAGGAAGTGCTGCAGGGCAGAACCGGGATCCATGTCGGTTTGTGCTCAGGTCGGGGTGGTGAGGCGATGAGGCTGTTCCTGTGTCTCTTTGCCTGTCTCCCTAGGTACCTTGGGTCACTCACGCTGTCGCTCTGCTCGCCTTTGCTTCACCGGGTCCAGGGCTGGTTGGCTGGTCGTTGGTGACTGGTAGTGTGCGGACCAGAGAAGTATTGCATGCCGAGGGGTTTTGAGACAAGGTTCTACGAAGGATCGCAGAGGGTCGGAACATAATTTGGTTGTCGGGAATGAAAAATCTCAAAGTTGGATCTGATGTTTGAAGATGCGCGATGCGTGGAAAAAGGAGATGTGAGATGCCAATACGGAGCAGGGCACGTTACACTCAGCTGAGATGCGCTGCTCCATGTCCTCATAGCTCAACCCAGCAGGAGCTCCTCACCACCTGTCCTGTGGACAGCAAGAGCGGGTGGGTGGGTGGACCACTGAGTCACCTCGGCCAGATGTAAGTGAAGCTGCTGCCCGGTCTCTAAGGGACCTTGGAGCCAGGTACTTTGACTCTTTGCCATGACTGCCCCGTCGCTTGCCTGAATTTTGTCTCTTTTATCGTAGCCTCAATATGTCACGTCCAAATTTCAAGATTGTGACCGACGAGAATGGTGTCTATCTGCACTCATAAGGTCAGATGGATCTCGGACTGCGGTACAGTCAAGCGAAAGATCCACCTCGCACTGTTGCATCAGCTACAACCTACCTTACGTTTAGGTAAGGTAGGTAGGTACCTTGAGGTAGTGGACCCATTCCCTGCGCCGGACGAATGCAACAGCTGATAAGACAAGGTAGTGAGGAGCTGTGGTCGGGAGGTCCGCCAGGAACAGGAAACCCCGCTATTGCCCGCGCGTTACTTCTGATAGCGTGCCGCCGGACGAGGAGCTCTGACCAGCTGTGAGATAGGGATATCGGACTACAATCTTTTTGCACCAGATGTTATTGGGAGGTAATGTACCTCCATATTGCCAGACAACCTTTCCTCATCCAGCTAGCGCCGACGTTCCTCCAACGCTCCGCTCCATAGTCGTTTCTATTCTATTGGCCTGAGGGTGCCTTGTGCATTGCGCGCATCCTGCGTCTCTGTCGCAATCTCACAGGCAAACCACACACCCCTCGCAACGTATCTCGTCATTACTAAACTCTGCTTAGGGCCCTCTATCTCTGCAGCTCCTCTCCAAATGGGGGCACATCGAGGTTGTTCAGAACACCGCTCCGTCTACCGTCAACAACGTCAAGATCAATACCAAGCTCCCGCCGATACACCGGCTCCTCCTGCGCCGGAAACTCACTCCTACCGCTATACCGATCCCGATCACGCCGTAATCATGGACGAAAAGCGAGACTACTACGGATACCGCACATCTACACCCCCTCCTCTCCCGGCCATGTCTGCACGGATGACCCGGAGAAGGGGTATCCTGCCCGTCCTGGCCATGGCCGCCTTGTTTGCCTACTCCGTCTGGAACTACACGCGCCACCCCTTCAGCCCGGCCGGCAGCGGCACCACTACCCACATCGTCCCCCAGGAAGCTCCGGTCGAGGTTGCCAAGAGCTTGGTTCCGTTGGAGGCACACATCATGAGCAAATGTCCGGATGCGAGGGTACGTAGCAATCGATATCTGGGACAGATGTTTGGGTCGAGAATGCTGATACTAGCCGCGCATAGGACTGCTTGCGAGATTTGGTTTTGCCTACCATGGTGAAGTCCCTGGACAAGGTCAACTTCACCCTGTCGTATATTGGCACGTAAGTTGCGACTCTTTTGCTGATCCACTCCGTGACGAGACCATGGCTGACGATCATGCTACCCAGACCGACCGAGAATGACGGCGTAGACTGCAAGCACGGCCCTGCCGAGTGTATGTTTGCTTCCCACAACTCAGTGTACAGGTTGTACTCTTGGAATCCTGAACGCTAACCTTTCCCTCTCGTCGACAGGCATGGGAAACATTATTGAGCTTTGCGCCATTCACCTCTACCCGGATCCTAAGATCAACCTGGGCTTCACCATGTGCCTCAGCCGCGAATACAGCGCCATTCCTGACCGTACTCTGGTCGAGGACTGCGCTCTCGAGCACGCCATCGATATCAAGGCCCTCGACGACTGCGCTACCCAGGACGACGGAGGCTTTGGTGTTGGCATGCTGCGTGACAGCGTCCGCCGGAGTAAGGATGTAAGTGGTGCCCGAACTTCAAACCCCCCTCCCCTCCAACACTCTCTTCCGTATTTGAGCTCTGTCTTAACAACTGCCCAGGCCGGTGTCACCAAGAGCTGCACCGTCAGACTCAACGAGGAGATATACTGCATCCGGGATGACGGTCAATGGAAGGATTGCCCGCACGGCGCTGGCCCCAATGATCTTGTCATCGCTATTGAAAAGCTGTACCGTTCTGCTTAGAGGCCTTGATGGGCTCGTAAACCTCCGTCCATAGCTCGCTGGCTTCGCCAAGTGTGTAACTCAGTGCAATACCGTCCATACCCGCTTCGTCATCTCCTTTCATGATCTCGAGCGTCTCCATGATGCTGTCGAGCCCAACCGCCTTGCCGACTGCCTGTGTCGCGCCGGCTTCCAGCTGCACGTGCACAATATGAATGTGGAAGTGGTAGTACGTCGGTTGGTAGTGCACATAGAGCTTTAGCTGGTCAATGTCGATGTCCGGGTACTGCTTGACGGTCGCCGCCAAGAGCTTGGCCTTCATGTGTTGCAGCCAGGGAATGTGCTTCTTGCGGAGGTCGCGCAGAGACCAGATGTCGCGGCGCTCAACGAGACCCAGGAGGTGCAGCGCGTCGAGCGTCTTGCGGTCCCAGTTCAGGTCCGGCAGCAGCAGGAACCCTTCGTCGCCCTCCTTGCCGAGCTCGGTGCGGTAGATGACATCCTCGACCTCGGTGCGGCCCTCGATGATGTTGAAGACCCAGTTGAGGCGGCCCTCATCGCGCTTGCGCTGCATGTAGGGACGGATGTGGGAGGCGTAGAGCGCCGGGGTCTCGGTGACGAGGCGGACGCCTTGTTTGCTGTATTTTTTGACGTGGGACTCGGTGCAAGGGTAGATGAGGTTGATTTTGAGGTCGGCGAGAGACGAATCGGGCGTCGTCGGGGAGGCGCTGCTGGCGAGGTACCAGTGGTAGATATCGTTTGCGCCGAGATTCGCGATGGAGGAGAGGGTCGTGGGGGTGGCGGCTAGGTAGGACGGGTCGGTGGGGAAGGGAGCGCGTTCTAGAATTAGGAGGGCTGGCTTGACGTCGATGGTGCCCAGGAGGGAGGTCCGACGGCCCGCCTGGTCTGGACAGGTATCGTCAATGTCGATGTTTTGGGGATTGGTGGTGTGTAAAGCTGTCTAGACCATACCTTGGTTGAGGACGCGATCGAGCTTGAATTTTGGGATCAGCGCCTCGGCGTTTGCTTTGACGTCTGCCATGATGTCAATGACGACGAAGGTCTTGAAGAAAACAACAAGATGTCTGGGCGGGCGACTGAGGATTGGACGGCCGAGTCAAGCAGCGGGCTGGAGTTGACGATGGGAAAAAACCGGCGGGGCCACCGCCCGGCTTGACGTGACCGAAAGGCAGAAGCAGGAGCACCACCCCCCGCCATGGCGTTACCCCGCGGTGGGGCACCAGCTCTTGCCCTTGCCGCCGTGTCGCCTTCAGTCTCGGGAATTTTGGAGGCAGTCGCAGCTTTGGCGACTTCGACCAGGTTCATCCCATTGTTCTCCTTTTCCATCTCTTATTTGCCCATAGTCGACATCCAAAGGCAGCTTGGCCGGGCCGTTGATTGGCTTACACTTCGCCACCCTTTCGATCTGCAGAGACGCTGTCCAAAATGTTGGACAAATAAAGCAAACAAGCTGGCGCTTCCAACGAGTGCCCCATGATCACATTCATCATTTCTTGCAGCACTTCGCTATGCCTAGAAGCACTACGGAAAGCAGTATCACATCTTGGCATCCGAATCTACGCAGCTGATCGCGCAATAGTTAAGCAAGGTCAGACTATCGGCAGCCCGCGGGACCCGGGCACGCCGGGGTCGTTCCGGGACTCAAATCCATCCGACTACTTTCGACTAGCCAATGCAGCCATGGAAAGTGGTGGGGCCGAATCAATTCTTAAGACTCTGGCGGAGTTAATCGAAAATCTCATCCAACTTGCGTCAGGGAGCTCTCTCTGTATTCGTACGCATTGGTGTATTACGACTCAAGGTAGGATGAGGGCAGCCGTATCTCCGCGTTTCGGTATTTTGCCTCGGGAAATTCGCGACTTTTTCCAGGCGGCGGTATAGCGCGACGGACCTACGAATCGCTTGCCGGCTCGTCGACCTCCCACACTGCTCACTCTGCCTGCCAGGCTGGACGCTATGCAACCAGACAATGCACTCCTTACACGGTGAGGAGCGCCGTTGGTGTGTCCAACTCTTTTCACAAACCCATGACGAAATATCGGGCTATCCCCATAGCGGATGAAGCACTGTAATATCCGTATCCTCGAGCTAGACAGGAAAATCCACAAAAAAAGGCTTAGGCCGTACGACAAGAACCGCTGGTTTCTAGCTGCAGAGGAATCCACCAGCGGCCTTATCCGTCGCCAATCGCTGCATCAACGGAGTCTATCGAGCGGAGGGTCGGTGTTGGTATCCCGCCGAACTCTATTCACCGCTCCGGTTGCTAATTCCTGGTCTCTGATTCAGTACTCAAGCACCTAGCCTTCACATCAGGGAGTAAAGTTCAAACAAGATGTGTGCTCCAACGTGTCGGGTTCGGACCAATGTGATTGCGCGCGGCTTGAAACGGCAAACGAAGAAGGCAAACCCCGCGCAACATGATTCCTACCTTGAGCAGCACAACACGAGCGAGGCCATACATCCTGCGGACAGGATATCTGATATCTCAGAACTTAGCCACTGGAAACGTACCAACCACTTCCACTCGCCCTCGCTCTTAGAGTACCTTACTTTAGCTTTGAGAATCCACGCCCCATGCGCATGACCAAGGTCTCTGATACAGGCTTTTTTCCTATGCATAGCCTGAGCTAGGGGCTGCCAAATTTCTGCCTTTAAAGGTAGACGCTCTGGCTGCAAAGCTGCGTCCAAACAACAGTTTGCCATTTGATATTTCCAACAAACCGCTGCAGCCATCCACCGTTCTTTTTGTGCCACTTTCCGTACCAGGTACCTCAAAACCGGGGCAAGATACACCGAGTACTGTCGACAGCAGAGCAAAGATCGACGAGTACGAAGGAGTCGGTCTCTTGCTTGCAAGTTACCAACACCTCTGATCAAGTCACCTGGCAAACAGTTCCAGAGCCAACGAGCATATCGACCCGCCTTCCCTCTCCCTCCTCTCCCTCCTCTCAAAGTGCAGCTTTTAGATATCCATCAAAACGAATGCCCTCCCCACCCTACGTATTCCCTGCTGCCTCTCCTGTTAGTGTCCCACCTCCTTAGTTACCTCGGTCCTGGGCTGGAAACAGGGGCCACAACACTAGCCATCTAAAGGCCGTCGGCCGTTACTCTAGAGGCTCATTGACTCGGACTTGTTAGAGAGGGAAGAATTTAACGACGAGTTCTTCCACACGCATCCCACTTTCCAGTCGCTCAACCTCGCGACAATTTCGGGCCATCATTCTGACCTTGAGACCGACTCATTCTAGAGACTCGAACCACGAGGTCTCTAGAATTATAAATTGGGCGCTCTTCCTCCTCTCTTATCCCAGACCCCGAATCGTCCTCTGTTTCCCGGATCATCCGACGGTTACCAACCAACATGGCCGCCACTGAGGTGCCCATACCCGAACCAAGAGGTCTTCCCTTCCTAGGCCATATTGCCGAATTCAATCCTGAAAACCCGCTGAACGATCTGCATCGTTTGGCTGACACATATGGTGAGCCGCTGATATTCCCGGGGCGAGACCTATCAAGTTGCTGAACTGCCTTCGAGGTGAGGTCTACCGGTTACGCATGCCAGGGCTGACCGTGGTTTTTGTTTCCACCAACGCCCTTGTCAACGAAGTGTGCGATGAATCACGCTTCGAAAAGTCTCTGAACAATGTCCTTCGTGTAAGGCAGTCGAATACCCACCCGGGGGACTTCAAGCAAGGCTGATCAGCCCACAGGAAGTTAGACACATCGCCAATGACGGCCTCTTCACTGTATGGAATCACTGGCTCTCAATCAATGGAATGCTTTGCTGAAATGCCCAGGCCAAACCGGAGGAAGTCAACTGGGGCATTGCACACAGAATTTTGATCCCAGCTTTTGGGCCCGTCACTATCCGCGGCATGTTCGACGAGATGGCCGACGTCGCATCCCAAATGGCCATGAAATGGGCACGCCATGGCCCTTCAGCCCCGATTCGAGTGACGGACGATTTTACACGTCTAACCCTCGATACCATTGCTCTCTGCTCAATGGACTTCCGCTTTAACTCCTACTATCGCGAAGAACTGCATCCATTCATTACCGCGATGGGTGATGCCCTCACAGAATGCGGTAACAGGGACAAGAGACCAGCATTCGCCAACTATTTTTTTCGGAGCACGGAACAAAAGTTCTTTGCTGATATTGAGCTGTTGCGCAAAACGGCTCGAGAAGTCCTCGAAGCGCGCAAAGAGAATCCCTCCGACAGAAAGGACCTGTTGTCTGCGATGCTCAACGGCGTAGATCCCAAGACAGGCCAGAAGATGACTGATGCCAGCATCATCGATAATCTTATTACCTTTCTCATTGCTGGCCATGAGACAACTTCTGGCATGCTTTCCTTTGCATTTTTTGAGCTTTTGCGCCAGCCGGCAGCCTACCGAAAGGCTCAGCAAGAAGTTGACGAGGTCATCGGGCTAGGGCCCATCACGATAGACCACCTTTCTAAGCTGCCTTATTTGAATGCCGTGAGTCTCGTTACGTCTAGAAACATGCGATTGGACAATCATACTGATGCTCAGGCTTACTAGGTCCTCCGCGAGACCCTCCGTCTTTGTGCCACGATTCCCGCTTTCGCTGTCGAAGCCAAGGAGGACACCCTCATTGGCGGAAAATATCCCGTCAAGAAGGGCGAGTCCATTGCTTGTTTGCTCGGTAAAGCACAACTCGATCCTATCGTCTACGGTGACGATGCCACCGAGTTCAAACCTGAGAGGATGCTGGATGAGAACTTTGAGCGTACCCAAAAGGAATTTCCGAATTCGTGGAAACCCTTTGGTAACGGCATGCGCGCTTGTATCGGCCGGCCGTTTGCTTGGCAGGAGGCCTTGCTCGCCACGGCCATGCTGCTGCAGAATTTCAACTTCACCATGGACGATCCCAGCTACCAGCTCAAGATCTCCGAGTCTCTCACGATCAAGCCAAAGGACTTTTATATGCGTGCAACCCTGCGGCACGGCATGAGTCCCACAGAGCTGGAGCATCGACTTGCCGGTAGGGGTCCGAACACTGCCAAGTTGGCTCATCGGCCCTCGCCTTCAGCTCAGGCAAATGGTCTCCAAGCAAACGGGCAGCAGGCAGCCAAACTTAGTGGTAAACCGATGAGTATATACTACGGGTCTAACAGTGGCACTTGTGAGGCGCTCGCTCAACGTCTTGCGACTGATGCTACTTCTCACGGATTCGATGCCACAGTCGTAGAGCCTCTTGATACCGCCAGGGAACAACTTGTCAAGAACCAGCCTGTGGTTATCATCACCGCTTCATATGAGGGCCAACCGCCAGACAACGCAGCTCATTTCGTCGCCTGGCTTGAGAGCCTAAAAGCTCAGGAAGTGAAAGATGTCCCATATGCTGTCTTTGGCTGTGGACATCACGACTGGGTACAGACTTTCCACCGCATCCCGAAGCTGGTTGATGCCACCATGGAGGAACACGGGGGTAGCAGAATCGTACCCATGGGACTCACTGATGCTGCGGAAAGAGACATGTTCTCAGATTTTGAAGTCTGGGAGGATGAGATCCTCTGGCCAGCGCTTGCTGAGAAGTACGGCATCGCAGAGGCAAAGGATGGTAACGGCTTGCAATCTGGTCTGGCTGTGCAGATTTCCAATCCGCGCACATCGACGTTGCGGTCAGATGTCCAGGAGGCTGTCGTCTCCGAGGAGAAGACACTCACCTCTTCTGGCGATTCAGGAAAGAAGCACATGGACATCCAGCTACCATCAGACATGACATATAGGGCTGGAGACTATCTCGCAGTGTTGCCTCTGAACCCACGCAGCAATGTCGAGAGGGTCTTTCGCAGGTTTCAACTGGCTTGGGATGCCTGCCTGACCATCTCTGGTGACAAGCGTACTCCCTTACCAGTCAACCAAACGATCTCTGCATTTGACATTCTCAGCGCCTATGTGGAACTTGCGCAGCCGGCGACGAAGCGTAATATTCTGTCTCTGATGGAAGCGACTCGGGACGAGGACACCATCAAGAGCCTGGAGCAGCTCTCTGGCGATGATTACCAAGAGGAAATCACCCAGAAACGGGTCACTGTCCTGGATCTCTTGGAGAGATTCCAGTCCATCGCGTTACCCATTGGCGCCTTCTTATCCATGCTCCCTCCCATGCGCGTGCGGCAGTAGTAAGTAATCTGAAATTCTTTTATACGCATCAACCAGCTAAACTCTGATCCAGCTCGATTTCATCATCGCCTCTCCGCAACCCCTCGCAAGCGACCCTCACCTACTCCATCCTCGACGAACCCTCTCTATCAGGCCAGGGCCGCCACGTCGGCGTGGCCACCAGCTACCTCGCCGCGCTCAAAAAGGGCGACAAGTTGCACGTTGCCGTGCGGCCCTCGCACGCCGCTTTCCACCTACCGCGGGATCCGGAGAAGACGCCGCTTATCCTCGTCGCCGCGGGGTCCGGCATCGCGCCCTTCCGCGGCTTCGTCCAGGAGCGCGCGGCGATGCTCGCTGCGGGACGGACGCTGGCGCCCGCGCTACTGTTCTTTGGCTGTCGGAGACCGGGCGCGGACGACCTGTACCGCGAGGAGTTTGATCAGTGGGAGAAGATGGGGGCCGTCTCGGTGCGCAGGGCGTATTCCCGCGCCGATGGCGGGGACAGCGAGGGGTGCCGGTATGTGCAGGACAGGTTGTACCGCGACAAGAAGGAAGTTTCGGATCTCTGGGCCCAGGGGGCCAAGTTGTTTGTTTGCGGGACGAGGAATGTGGGCAAGGCGGTTGAGGAGGCGTGTGTGCGGGTGATTTTGGAGTCGGCTCAGGAGGGGGAGGGCCAGCCTGAGTTGAAGGATTTGGATTATGAGGGGGCGAGGAAATGGTTCGAGGGGATTCGGAATGAGAGGTATGCGACGGACGTTTTTGACTAGAGGGGTTTTCTTTGGGTGGGATTTTGCGTTGGATGGGTTGGATGTGAGGAGGGTGGTGTGAGGGTGAGTGGGTTGAGGATACCACCCTGTGTGTTGATATGTACATTCACGTTCAAGTTCTGGCTTGATGACCATTAAATCTCATTGTATCGATGCCTCTTACTGACGTCAAGAGAGCGTCTCACCGAGCTTCAAACAATGCATCATGGGAGGGAGCTCTCCTCGTGTGAGGCCTCTCTTTACCCGCACTTGTCAGAGCCACAGACTATGGCATCTGTAAAGTTGCTTTCCTTGACGGCAAACGCCACCATCGTGGATTCTCATCGTCATCTCAAAAGGCCGAAGAAGACGTCATTCCGAGGTACTCCCCCCAGCCTGGATTCAAAACTACCGGAGTAACTCAACTGTGTAATGGGCTAGTCTGGACTTTTGGCCGACAGTCGAGGGAAAGGGGGTTTCCAGGTCGATAAGCTGACATACCGACTACATGGCTTCGAGCCCACCCCCTCCTGTAACGGCTTTACTCCAGTTTGGGCGGAACCCCAGGTTCGTGCCATTGGCGACCAAGCTCGTTCCCAAATGGATTCTTCCTTGAAATACTCTCGCTCCGACGTTGGTGTGAGCAAGGGAGAATGGGGAGCAGTCTTTTTCTTTTTCCCCCTCCTCAGCTGTCAGTCGACGGGTAAGGTTGTCAGAGGTGTCACACTACACCACCATAACCACCACGGCCCTCCTTTATCCTCCCCCCCGCGTTTCGTTCCACATATCGATAACGGAGTCGCCGCTGTGCTACGCCGCAATCCATCCATGCATTGCATTCCACGGTGTGTGTTTGCGACGGGGCCTTGGTCTGGACATATTGCAAAAACGAAGAAGATATAGGAGGGGCCCGCCCCCGGGGTAGCGAGACGCGGCAATGGTACTCTTCGTTATGTCTTGCTAAAAAGCTGGGAATTCCCGTGGTCAAACGTTTGCGAGTAGCTACTGCATTCAATGGCAGCCGGAGGATTCGACTGAAACCATGGCCATGCAGGAGATGATTACGGCTCACCCTCTCCTCACTGCGTTGGCAAAATTACTATTATCATAAAAGAAATTGAAATAAAAAAAAGGCCGTGGAGGATTGCTTTGTCAAGATGGCCAGCCAGCGTCCCATGGAAGCGCAATGTCAGTCTCGGTTGGATCATGGATATGAATGGAGAGGGGGCTTGGCGTAAGCAGGCCCTTGGGACCGCAGATCGGCTGGCTCAAAGAGGCTTGGTGTCATCCTGCACGAGTCTCGGCCGTCCCGGTACAACGCACTTTTGCGAGGACGCTGATTTGCTTCCCAAATATCGAACCCTGCCCTCTCCCCCCCTCCCCCCCTCCCCCCTGGCTACCTAAGAGCTTATTATCGTTCCGGTAGTGATGGTCCAGCGATTGAAGTACATCCCATCGCAGGGGGGGTCTCAGATGCCTTGGTCCCTTGTTTGGTCTTGAAAAGGTTGGAACCGGGGAGGCTCTTCTTCTTAGATACCGACTGTGTTGAACCGATCCTAATCTCCCTGCTGCATCATTTGATGTCAGGTGTATGCCGGGGTGCTCCTCGATCGCTGTTGATGGCTGGGGGATACGCAATGGGTGCGGAGGCAGGCAGGCTGGTGGAGTGGATGAGGTAGCAAAGGTAGTATCCTATTCCAGAGCCAAGTCGCGGTCGAGATGCTGGTGTTCCTTTGAAAACCGTCAGCTGGTCAATACGGCGACCGCTCGCCAAATATTCAGGGTGTTGAGAGCAGGGTGGTGGTGGTTGTGTACATGGCCCTGCGAACGGCGCCGCCAAGATCGTGAATCCGTGACAGGTCCCCCGGTATGGTGACGTTTTTGTCAAAAGTCCCCTGAGGATGATGAGTGGCCGAGACGTTGAAATGACATCGTTCCATGGCTTTGAAAGTCCGAAGCGGAACTCTATCCGATTTGTTCGGCCGTAAAACGATTATCCATGAGTTACACGGACGGGAGGAACATGGTGTCATGGGCCTTTGTTACCTCAAATCGTCACGACGTTCTCTTGAGGTGCACTTTCTTGGTAGTCGAGATAGCCTACGCGTGCTGCTGTCTCAGTGCGACGAAGAGCAAAAGTATACGCAACGAGCCCTCATATGATAAAAGTCCCCGAGCGGCCTCGAGAGTGGTTCCGCAACAGCGGTACGTTCTCCTCGACGCCTGCATGACAACGCTGCACCGCCCGCAGCGGAGAGATTGGAGTCCGATTTTAGGGCTGAGTGATTCATCGTGGCCCATCGACGTCTCCGAGGCCTCACCGTCGTCATCGATACCAAGATCGGGGTAACTCGCATCACCTTTGCTTGTGCAGGGAGGGCGTGGACTTGGTATATATACACACCTACATGCTGACGGGCGGACCAGTGGAGGAGTCGACGAACACGACCCTCCCCCAGCTCGAGGGGAGGGAGTCTGGTACATGTCGTAGGCAGACACGCACTTGTATGCAAGTTGCACACAATGCGTCCCTTCCTCCCAGGCTTGAACGACGTCGAATAACATTGTCCAACGACGTTAGTAGGTGGGTAGGGCAGGCGGGTAAGGCTGGCAGTTGGGTCTAAACGAGATCCCGGGAGTGTCCCGTGTGCCAGCTACTCGGCTACGGTCTCTTTGAGCCCCCTGGCGTGAGAAGTAGCGCCGGCGGCATCCAATGCGAGAGCTCTGATCGTGTCGCCTCAACGGGCGCTTCTCTCCTTTGGGAATCTCACGCCGAGAAGCCTGATGGCAAATCGAAAGACGCGAAGGAATGGGCTGGTGGTGGTGGTGGTGGTGGTGTAGGTCCTTGTGGTACATGGGGGAAATCGACGTTGGTGTAATATGTGTTGGGGGCCATTTCCGGCCCCCAAACTTCTCTTTCCCTTGGAAACTTCTTGTTCTTAGTATGGCCGTCACTCTTAAAGACGGACGTTTCGCCCGTTGAAAGCAAATGCGAGAGATCTGTTCCCCTCGTTCAAACCTCATCTTCTCTGTTTTGGAATATAGAAAAGAAAATGACCTCTTCTGCGTACAGCTACGGCGGGAGCCAAATCACCTTCTTGATGCCCCCAACACCAGGTGTGGCAGGGACCGAACCAGCGGGACACGCAACGGCCCCCAGGTATGTTCTCACCCCCATCCGACATGCATGGCGGCGACAAATCTGGTTGGTGGCGGACGAGAGGGACCGGACAGTGCTGATCCTAATGTAGGAATGGTGGCAACGACAGGCCGCAGATTCTCACGTTTGCTCTACAGCAAAGACCGCGAGCCACTCGAGCGAGTGCTCACAAGGTCCGAACGGGATGCATTACTTGTAAGCCGGTTCCACCAACAGCCCAGCTTTGAGGAGCTTTTCTCTTGATTCGGCCTTCGCAGCTGACCAAACCATAATCATAGGCAAGTGAGTCAAATCTTCCTTTGGAGAAAGAGAGAGAGAGAGAGAGAGCACACCGGAATAGCTTCTCACGCCTTGTTCGTCCAGGCGCCGACACGTAAAGTGCGATGAAGTGAAGCCCTCGTGCCAGCGATGCGTAAAGTGGCAGGGTTTCTGTGAAGGGTACGACTCTCCAAACGGTTCCTCAGCCTCCACGCCAGGCGGCCCAGAAAGCGACGCAGACAACAGCAAGACAACGTCTCTCGTCTCCGTATCAAAGAAGCATAAGAAGAAGACGCTCGCCGCGAATCATCGTTCCAGGCCACCGTCCCATCTGAGAGACGTCAGCCTGCCGACCGAACCCACCGAGAACTTGTTTGGAAACGTGTTTGAACGACAATACTTTGACTACTGGCTTTCGCGCCGCTATCGGCTGGGCGGCGGTTTCTTTGACGAGCAACTATGGAACGAGACCATTCCGCAAATGAGCCATCAGCATGCCTCAGTCAGATATGCCGCGATGGCCGTTGGCGGCATCGGGAAAGCCCTCTTACACAGCTTGAAGCCGACGACCCCGGCCCAGCTGGGCGCGAATGGGCCGCACTACGGTCTCGCTCTGTCGTACTACGGACGCGCGATCCGCGAGGTGCGGAAAGCGACGCGCGACACAAGCAGCCTTCGGGCCGCGATTGTGTGCTGCCTGCTGTTTGTCTGCTTCGAGGTGCTCCACGGCGACCGGAAAGCCGCCTTCGCCCTCATCAATAGCGGCCAGACGATGATGGACGAGCTGCTGCGCCGGTGCGAGGAGGAGAGGCGTCGGGATCAGAGCATCATCGGGGCCGAGGCCGTCGAGACTGAGGCCCTCCACGTGTTCCAGCGGCTCATACAGCAGTCTTGGTCTTGCGGCGTCCTCCGGCGACGAGAGCGGTACGGTCAGGGACACCTCGTCGAAGACAATAAGGATTTCTACTCGTCCGAGTCATGGTGCTGCCAAGGGGGCTCAGGCAGAAAGTGCGCGATACACAAGATGCCCGTCACCTTTACTAGTCTACAAGAAGCTCGGCGGTGGTGGGATGTGACGCAGCACTACGTGACGCACTCGTCCGACATTGTCTGCCGCGTCACCCAGCTGGGACTCAGCGACGACTTCCTCTCCGAATGCAACGAGCGCATCCGCAGACAGCTGGAAGAAAGTGTGCGCGCCAAAGCCGGCGACGTCGACGAGTCCTCCTCCTCGTCGGCGGCGGCGGGGGCAGCGGCAGGGGCAGGGGAGACCGCCTCGCGCTGGCAAGACTTTAGAGACGCGCTGGCGCGGTGGGAATCCGGCTTCGAGCCCCTCTGGACCGCCGCCCTCACGAAAAAGACCTCGGACGAGAGATCATACACGCAGGCGGCGCACCTCCGCGCCCAGTACCTGACGCTGTCCAACTGTCTCGAGTCGCCGCTCGGCTGCAGCTACGACCGCGTCGCGCAGCTGACGCCGCGGTTCCGTGAGATTATCCAGCTCTGCGCCGGTCTTTTGGCCTACCAGAAGCGGTCCTTTGTCGGCGGCGAGATCTTCACCATGGACATGGGCCCGACGTGGCCGCTCTTTGTCGCGGGCACGCGGTGTCGGGTGCCCGAGCTGCGCAACGAGGCGATCCGGCTGCTGCGGGAGAACCCGCGGCGGGACGGGCTCTGGGACAGCCGGTTCTTTTACGCGTTGATGGTGCGGAACCGGTTGCTGGAGATTTCGAATTCCCGCGAGGGCACGCCGGAGGAGCAGTGGTGGCGGTTGCAGCATCGGTCGGCGTGCATTGATGAGCAGGGTGCGCTTATTGCAAAGGCGATGGATAAGAACCCGTTGACGGGGACGTGGGAAGTGGGCGAGGATAATGTTCGTCGGTTTCTCTTTGATTGACTTTTGGGAGGGAGGAAGAGCCTGGTCTTGTTCCCCCTTTTTGGTGTGGGCGAGGGTGAATGGCATACAACCTGGGTACCCTTCATCTGGACCGGGATCCTGCCATCTTCTATTGCAATGTTATTTGCCAATCTCAAGCTGGCAACCTTGGAGATTAGATTGGCCACGACGTCTTCAGGTTTGCTGGAATCTTTGGCGGTCTTTATGATTTGGATAATGGGACTGGATTTGAGTTTGATGACGATGACAGCTCTTCCCTTGATAGCTCCATGGTGGACCATGATGTTAGCCTTGGTAAATGACTGGCAGATCTGTTGTGGGCGAATGAGCATCGACTGGGCTTTGTGTTCTGATCAAAGTCAAACATATCTGAAGGCTCTGTGGTTGAGTCAACAACGGAATTTGATATTTCCGTGGATCCATTACTAAGACTAATGCTACACGACCTCCTCAACTACCCACGCGAGGACTGGCAATGATGAGGGAAACCGGACTCCGATATCCCGGTCAATCATGAGAACCAGTCCTTGACGCGCTCGCCTATATTCGTCGGCTTGGGCTGCTCAGGAACGTACTCTGACTCGTGGAGACGGCCTGACCAGAGATCGATCTCGTGAGCGCGAATAAACTGAAGTATTAAAGTTAGCCAAAGTGGTACTCGCCCCTTTACGGTATAAAAAGAAACATGCCTTGGTCTTGTGAACAATCTTCCAGGCGATGATGGGCAGAATGAAAATTGGGATTCCAATGTACGAGGAGATAAAGTTCGAGGTCGACCAATTACCCGCGAGAAAGACGGAGAAGCCGGCGACGAGGACGATGATGGTGGACCCGATGAAGCCGAACCAGGCCGCAAAGGGCTGCAAGGGCGCCTTCCAGGGCAAGCTGTCACGGCTGATGCCCTGCACCTTCATGGCGCGGTGGAAGCGGATGTAACAGAAGCACAGCGTCGCCCACGCGATGAGGCCGGCGACGGTGCTCAGGCTGAGCAGCCAGTTGAACGCGTCCGCGGCGCCGCCGGCGCCGAGGCTGAGGTAGGCGAGCGGGCCAAAGAGCCAGGCGGTGACGACGGCGACGTAGGGGACGCCGTGCTTGGTCGTGCGGCCAAAGAACTGGGGCAGCTGCCTGTCAGTGGTCATGGCGACGATCATGCGGGAGCCGACCCAGCAGTACGAGTTGCCGGCGCTCCAGGCGCTGACGAGGATGCAGGCGTTGACGATGGAGGGGAGGATGTCGACGCCGGCTTGGCGGATGGCGATGACCCAGGGGGAGGAGTTTGCGTTGCCCGCGTGCGAGACGAGGCCGGCCTCGCGGGGGTCGACGATGAGGCCGATGAGGAGGGCGCCGAGGACGTAGAAGAAGCCGATGCGCCATGTTACGCGGCGGGCGGCGTTGGGGATCGCTTTGTGCGGGTTGATGGACTCTGCTGCGCTGATGACGACTGTCTCGACCTGATTTCAGTGTTACTTTTTGTTTTCCCAATGATTCTTTATCTTTTTTATGTTTTATTTTTTATTATTCTCGTTTCGAGGAGAGAATAGAAGACGGGGTCATCTAGAAACGGAGGCACAGAGAACTGGGAACGTACACCAATGAAGGAGAAGGACGCGTTGACGAAAGCAGCCAGGAAGCCGAGGAAGTGGCCCGTCGAGCCGGTGATGCCGTTGTACTCGACCCAGGCGCCCGGGTGGTTCCAGTAGCGGAAGCCGATGGCCTCGTGGTTGGGGCCCCCTCCGGCCGTGATGATGATGGAGGTGAAGACGAGGCCGATGAAGCAGAGGACTTTAATGGAGCCGCCCACGACCTCGGTCTCGCCGAACCAGCGCACGCTCAGAAGGTTGCACAAGAGGATCAGGGCGAGGGAGATGGAAATGACGACGGCGGGCGTTATGTCGGTCCAGTAGGATACCAGGATCGCGGCCGCAGAGGCCTCGGCGCCAATGGAGATTGTGAAGCAGTAGCCGTAGGAGATTGCGAGGGAGAAGCCGACGGCTGGGTCGATGAAGCGGGTGGCCCAGTGGGGGAATGACCCGGCGGTGGGAATCTGTTTCTCGCGGTCAGTTTTTGTGTCATTGCGCGCAAGAGGAAAGTCTCCCTGGGAGGGAGTGAATGCGGCAGCAAAGCTACGCTTCTACGCCATGTCAACATACCAAGGTTGCCAACTCTCCGATGCTTTGCATCACACACCAGAGAACGGCACCGACGATGATGTAAGCGAGCAAGAGACCGGCGGGACCGGCCTTTGCGTAGGCCGAACCCGTTCCGATGAAGAGACCGGTTCCGATACCACTGCAGAAGCCCATCATGGTGACCTGGTAGTCGCGCAGGCGGCGCTGGGTGCGGCCGTGGCCGCCGACGTTGAGCTGGGGCTCGAGGATGGCGGCCTTGTCGTCGTGGTGGTGATGCTCGTTGTCGGCGGCGCCGGACTTTTCAATGTCTCGGACGGCATCGTCGCCGGCGGCGGGCCGGTGCCTGTTGGAATCGTACGCCGTCATGGCTGAGTATCCTGTTTCTCAAGGACAGTGACTGAAGCCGGCCTTTGCTCCAGTCCGTCTGGCTGGTTGCCTACGTTTGAGTTGGGATGTTCGAAACTGGAGGATGAACACTCAAGTAACTCAGAGTGACTGAAGCCAAGACCCGGAGGAGCTAGTATCGGGATTATTTAAAGTACCTGTCGGTAGTCAATCCCATCTGCAGGTTTTTTCTGCATCACTAGGGCGAGACCGGAGGACTGGGCACTAGGCAATGACACCGTTAGGCTAGTCGCGGGGCGATCCAGGGTTCTGTGGGGGTAGGAGGGGCGAGGGGCGAGGCATAGGAGCCAAGAGTCAATCGTGAAGCTTGGCGCTTTCACCGAGCTTGGCCGCGATTCGCCTCGGTCCGGTTCGGTCTGGATGAAGCCTTCTACCACGACTACTCGACTACTCGAGTGCCTCATGCAGCCAGTGCCATCACATCACGTCCTTTGCATTCCCATCTAGTTCAAGCGTATCAACAAGCGCAGTCACGAAGCTTCATCTGCTCACACTCCGGTCTCGCAGGAAAAGTTCCTGGAAATGGAGCGCTGGCAGTTCCGAGTACGTAAAATTTCTTCCCAAATTGGCCGCGGCGGGCGGGTCCGGGGTCACGGAGGAGTCAGGACGGGGTGCGTCCCATCTGCACCGGCGGTAGCGCGGTGTGGGCGGGCCCGGAACCCACCCGCACGGAAGCGTGTGAGTGGTCAGCGCCGCCGGTTGCAATCTAGGAACAGGGAGGCTGACGCATGAGTCGTTCATCTAAAGATCTTTTGAAAATCGTCTAGAAGATTGAGTGGATGGAATAAAAATTGCACCGAGCTAACCTAGGGGCCGGAAATGGGAGCACGGTTTGACAAGAAAGGGGTCCCATTCCCACGTGCTCCCGAAGGACCTGGCCAAGACCGGATCCGACTCCCTCGGCCGGGGGAGGGACAAGGTTCATGAGCCGGTCACTAGAGGGATGTTGCAAGCCGGCGAGTAAGTTGATAGGCAGACCTGAAATCCATTTGAAGCACCCAGATCGCTGTTTGTGGATGCCGCGATGGATCAGCTTCTAGAAGATCTACCAACCTGTTTAGAAATCTGAACATACTGCAGCAACTGAACATCTTATGACTTTGTACATTACCGCCGTAAGCCAAATCTCTACCCCAAATGCCGCTGACTGTCCAATGCCGGCCTCAGATTGCGCGATCCGGAAACCACGAGCCACTTTCGTCGCGACAGCTCACTCATCTTTGTCTTCTCCTCATCACCGTATCAGCCCAGAGTTACCTCGCACTTGCGTCCAACAGGTCTAATCATGAAGAAGTTTTTCATCCCCATCATCTCATTCGTCATCCCGGGCGCTATCCTCAGCCCCTTGCACTCCCGGAAGAGCACGGCCACCGCCAATCGCATTTCCATTTTTGCAAGCTCTACGCCGAGGCAAATTCGTGAGCCGGCACCCCAGGGCGAGAAGAGGAGCTTTTGTTGCTCAGTAAGTGTGCTATGGTCCAAGAAACGTGTTTCATCGAATCTTTTGTCTTGTTAGGATGGTCGTTCCTTTCCGACGAACTTGACCAGCACATCAAAACTTCTGGAATGAGGTACGAAGACTTACCGTAAAGGATCCGGCCACACATCCGGATCCCGGTGGAGAGTGTAGGCCTGCGTCTCCACCGTGACTCCGCCGGGGATGAAGTAGCCCCCGAGCGTAGCGCCGCCCGCCGGCACTGACCTCGCCAGCTGTCCCGGAACGGCGCTGTGCAGCCTCAACGTCTCCTCAATGACAGCGTTGAGCAGCGGGAGCTTTTCAAGCGCATCGTCGTCGAAATCGGGGCTCAGACTTGCAACCTCTGCCTCTACTTTGCGTCTCAAGCCTGGTCGTTTCAAAACCGCCCAAACTAGGTAAGTCAACGTGACCGACGTCGTGTCCGAGCCGCCGATGATAATGCCCCGGCTTTCCCTTTGCACCATTTCTTCCGTAAGCTTCACGTTTGCACTTGCGTCCTTTTCTCCGTCGTTGATAGGTTCATCAGCGTCAAGGGCGTCCAAGAGGGCTGCAAACAGGGTTCTGCCACGACCGCTGTTCTGGCGGAGATTCGCGAGAGCGCGATAGCCGTAGCTGTCGAGGATAGCTCGCGCATCCACGACGCCTGTCGAGGATTTGAAGAATGATAGGAGGGAGCGAATGAAGTGCAGCAAAGGTAGCTCGTAGCGCGTGATATTCTGCATCATGATGAGTTCCAGCATCTTCATGTAGTCGTTTTTCTTCGGTTCATGCCATTAGCACACCCGCACGATCTTGGCATGCAAAACGGGGGAACACACCTCTCCCAGTTCCAGCATCTTGAAAGACTCTCCAAAGCACAGGTGCGCAACGATATCAGTCGCCATCATGGTGAACCACTTCAACACATCCGAACAACCGCCCCCCTCCGCCTCTCCGCGTATCTTGCGCACAGCCTTCTCGACATTCTCTCTGACGACGCCCTCCCACTCCTTCCTCAGCAAAGCCTTGGTGAAGACCCGGCCGAGGAGTTTCCTGCGAATCGCGTGTTTCCTCGGGTTCCGCACCGCAAAGATGCTCGTCTCGCCGCCGTTGGGCGCGTTGGACTCCTCGTACCATGGGGCCTTGAGAAAGCCGCCTCCGATGCGGTGGATGGTGCTGAAGCCGTCTGGGTCCGCGACGGCTACTTCGTGGGGGGATATGCGGACGATAGGGCCGTGATGGGCGTGGAGGGCGTCGACGTAGTACATTCGACGGCCGGTGAGGACGTGGTATTTCAGAGGGAGGCGGGTTAGGAGGGTGTGCCATGGACCTGGGATGTGTCGAAGGGGGTTTGTGTAGGCTCTGTGAATGACCTGGCAGAATCAGTAACTGGCAACCGGTGATATGTCGTTTCCTAGGTAATATTCTTGCGGGCTTTCCTCCTAGGAATAGAGGTGTATCCTCTCATTATTGTGCAGTCCACAGAGCCAGAGCATCTCCAGCGGAATTGGAGTTCAACGACATGGCTGAGCTCTGACAAAATGCTGGAATAATTAAAAAGCTTACATAGATAATGATTATCAAAGGAAAGCCTATGGCGGCATACGCCGGTCTGATGCCGTTTGTGGGATCTGTGAACAACATTATGGTCGTCTTCGCAGATCGGAGGATCCGAATGGAGAGGAGAATAGAAAATGGATGATGGGCCACGATACAAATGGCGATCAAAAGGAGACTCCGCTCCAGCATTTCCATCGTTTACACTTCCGCCGAAACTTTGCTTAAAGAGGATAGCGGGCGGGGGTGCATCAGCAATGGAAGAAGTATCACATCCCCATCACCCACTCAGCGTCTGATCTGAACGACTGAAGGTTTAAACCTTCGCGTCGACATCCTGCTTTTCGCTACCCCAATCTAACCATAGAGAAGTACCATCCATTGGCAATCTCCACAGGAAAATGTTACTAACCAAGCTAACTTGGCTTGGCAGGCACTGAAAGATCAAATCATTAAATAGCGAGAGCGAGCGCTATGCTTCCAGACCACCAAAGTCAGACGGTCTTACCTGATTTGCTCATTCTTGGTTCTTCTCCAAAACATAATTCCAATGCTTCTTTGAATACTAGAGAGTAGAATCTATATGTTTAACGAACACTCCGTTAGGAGCTTGGCAGTTTCAAAACATTTCTACTGATAGTTGCCCGTCACCAATTCGTCTTGCTTTCCGAAGAAGTATTGCCGTTTTTGAAAACATTTATTTGAGCTTGTGCAAAGGAGAAATCTGATCTTCCATATGATTAACTTCAAGTCTATTCAAGTTTACATGTAGAGTTCCAAGTCTAATACCCAAGTCTACCGTAAAGGATTCACAAGCTGTGTTGTCCGAGCTACAAGTTGCAAACCCTCACTGGTAATCGCTCCTCAAAGGCGAGAAACCCCGCTGCCCTCTTCAATATCTCGGGCTGCAATCTCAGGCTCGGTCTCCCCATCACTGTCGCTAAGTGGCGTATATTCGGAAACAGTAGACGAAAAGTAGCCCGTCTTGGTGACGCTCCGGCAGTGAGGGCAATCGCAGCTGCGGCTGATAAGAAGGTGAACGGCCTGCGGCAAGACAATGTACAGATGGACGCTCCTGAAGGAAAACTGGTCAGTCTTGATGTCTCTCTTGAAAACTCGGGCCAGCAAGGAATACTCACAAGTCAAACATCATGAACACAGTGCAGTACGTCCCCAGCACAAGGAGGGGTTTATGCCTCGTATCCGTCAAAAGAATCCAGCTCGGAATCAGGAGCGAGAGGTGGAAGACCGTGAGGAGGCAATCGGCCCAGAAGATGTTGGACTCGGAAAGAGCCTGGATCGGGGAACCGACGGCGGCGAGGGCATCGCGGTTCAGGACGAAGAGGCCGAGGACGGCCGAGGCGGCTAGCGGGAGGACACCCAGGGCTGGGAAGGCTCGCTCGGATGCTATGCCGTGAGCGAGGAGGAGGACGAAGGCTGGCGGAAAGGCGATGATTTCGAGACGTCGGAGGGCTACGGTTCTAGCTGCTGAAGACATTGCGGCCTGCGTTGGTGATGCTGCGTTGGTTTTGGGATAGGAATAAGATACTGGACCACCACCTGAGAGCTAGTTTCTCAGGGTTGGAGGTAAATTTATACGAAGCCGTTGCATGGAGGCGAACTCGATAAGATGGTGCCTAGAGCCTCACCTCCTTCACCTGAATGATACGTATCTTCCATGCATCTTACCAGCCAAGTGCAAAGCCACCATCAACCTGCTCCCCGATTGGCTGTTTTGGCAAGACAGCACTACGTGCCTAGGAAGGATCTAAACCCATACAGATCGGCGGTAATACAGGCAAGCATCATCTCATTTTCAGCTTTCCGAGAAGTTTCCCAGCCCTTTCGCTTACTGCTTGTCTGGGTCTGGAATCTGTGAGATCTTTTCCTCCTAAGCTGGAATGCACATTTGAGACCCCTTGTTGTTGGTGGCTGCACCCCTAGTGCACCCCCTCCCCCAGGGGCCCCGCTGGTGGCGGTGCACCTGACAGGATGTTGGTACACGGAATCGAAGCCTTACATACTTGGCAAGGCGTTTCCAGTTGGCCGCGAAAGGGAGTCCAATCATGCGAGGATCCCCAGGTTCGCTTCAAAGGTATCTACTCTGCCTTGATCATATTCGGCCCCTTTTGGTTGTATGCCTCCTCTGACCGCCGCTAGCTGCCGGATCCGACGCTGGCAGCTTGCTCCTGGTCGAAGGGCCCTTCGGCACCTAAATCTCATTCGGCGTACGTTACCTCGGTTTTTGCGAGAGTTGATGTTCGTGAGGTTGCTGTGGCATATCTTTAATTTGTCTCGACGCCCTCAGACATTAGTTAGTACGAAATGAGACGCTAGGATGGCACTGCTCGATCCAGGTGCGTTGTGGATGTGAAGAATGTTGGGCATTTCCATATCCAGAGATTTCCAAGAGTTATAGGAAGGGTGCTCCAAAATTTAATCCAAAGAGCGGCTGAATGGCCTTCGAAGCTGCAGCTGAGAGTTGTTGGAGTCAATCTTTGAGAGTGTTCGTAGGAAGTCGTGGAGCCGCTGTGACATTACTAATGAAATTTATCAGCACTCGGGGCCTGTTCAGGCTAAGTTCTGTTTTGACTGACTTCTTGGCTTCCGATCAACTGCTTGGCTGATCTTGTCGCAGATAAATTCAGTTGCTTCGTTCCCAGGCGTGAAGTTCCATGAGTACCTTTCGTTGGTGTTCAGAACGATCTCTTTGTGGCTTGCACTTATACCAGAGTACTCCCATTTAACCCTGTCAAAAGCATTCAGAAGTTCTCTTAGTATATTCAGGGGTGAATGCGAGTTAAGCGTTGAGCGATATAACAGCTGAACGATGTCATGTTCGCTAAAGAGTGCATTCTCCTCGAGTTTAGGGGCGTTGTAGAAAACCTACATTCAAGTTCGTCAGTCATTTGACCATTCACCCCTCGTTCTGTACGTCAAACTCACCAGGAGAGCGATATTCTTAATAATTTTGTGATACCTTCTGTCCTTATATGCGATTATCAAGGCCTTTTGGTTCGTCAGCTTCAGTACTGGCATTGCTGGATCTAGCCCACACCTGTTTTGCAAGCGACACGCCCATTTTATGACAGAGAAAGACGTGTGTAATGTCCGCATTAGACTCTTCACTACCCTAAGATTCAAGGTTCAGCACACTTATCAAATTATTTACAGCATTATCTTACTGAACGACGATGATCACGCTCTACAGTCTCGAGGAGAAATAATGCGGTCTCCACGAGGCCGGTCGTGCCCCAGCCAAGGTCATTGACAAGAAACGGAATATTTGTCACGACAGCATCAGGGAATGGAGCGGACCTGAAACTGCTCGTCTTTGATTGGGTCAAAGAGGAGTCTGTGATGCCGCGGGCGGGGACAAGTCTAGGAATGGACGTAAGAATTGTGGAAACGATGCGAACAAGGAGGCCCTTACTGAAACTGACGATGAGCCTGGGGTTTCATGATGAGCTGAGATTCTAGAGTGTCTTGGTGATGATCTGGACTGCAACCCGCTTCTCTGTGTATATAATTCTCTCGTTGTCAAACACAACGGCGACAGTTACAAATCGCTCTTGCATGCTGAAAAATGTGGTAGATGGTGAGACCCTGACATTCCATTTTTCAGAGGTATTGGGGATTCAGAACAACCCCCCCCCCC